GGTGGTGGTGGTGGTGGTGGTGGTGCGGCTATTCGTCATGGGCGCGCTGGACGATGAGACGTTTATTGCACTAGAAATGCTAGGTTTCCTAGGTAATGGACACTGCGGTACATTCCGCCTTCGTAAATACGCATGTGACCAACTAGACCCATGCGGTGAATTAACGTGTGTGGGAATTGTGGAAAGTGGATTTGGATGCGGCGAGCGTACGTAGATGCTCCAGACACTGGTTTGTCAGTCTCTGTGCAGTGGATTCGCAAGTGACTGAAGAGGCCGATGTGTGGGGTGAATATCCGGTCGCAAGGAGGACAGGTATGGACCGAGTTCACATCGCTGGCGCTGGGGGTAGTGCTGACGAATGTTCTGGTGGCTGATCTGGAAGTCGGCACCGTTTTTGTTGCCGTCTGGGATGGTAGAGGTGGTTGTGTTCGCCGCCGCCGCGGAAGATGTGGAAGAGGCAGTGGAAGTGGTAGTGATCGACGGCAGTGCGGCGCGGGGATTCGAAGCAGCATTGGTGAGGGTGGGCACCGACGTGATCACCATGGAGGTTGAAGTTGGGATGTTCTTAGAGAAACCGATTGCAATCGTCGGGCGGAAGGTCCATTGGCTCCGAAGTTGGCCGATGAGGCCGCTCCGCGAGCTCAATCTCCTTTGACAGCTCGGGCACTTTGGGTGTGGTTCAGTCAGTCAGTTTATTTGGAGGAAATAGGCTGGTCGAGCGACACTGTTACGAATCGGAGACTCCTGAAATTTTCATGCAACCCTTTTGGCTTTAAAGGAGGTGATCAGGTTTTCTTCGCAGATGGCTGAGCCAGTCTTCTCTTATCTTCTACATTCCAGTATGTTCTGGACGAGGTCCTCCCAGGTCCCTGGACCAAATTCAATATCTAAAGTGAACTATTCAATGCGTCCTTGTAGCATCATTGTTGACCTCCCAGTCAATAAGTACCCGTGGCGCCATCTCCAGGAAAGGGCTATTTTGGTAAATTTGTATCTTCCATTCGCACGAGATTGCCGCTCCAACGTAATTGCAGTTGCTTCAGCATGGCGTGGATCCTGAGGATCCTGGACTTCATTATCGTGGATTCTGTCTCGCCATTTCGGCTCCCGTATTCTGCAAGGGCAGCTAAGGTGGAGGTAGTTCAGCTTCCCAGCATGGGTTTCGTAGGATGCCCAGGTCTTCACACCGTACAAATTGTCGTCAGTTCGACGGCCATGTATATCATCGCTTCGCTGTTCAGCTGGATGCCGTGACGATGCCACACGGAGGCTTGTAGCCGACTGAATACCTAAGTGGATATGAAGAGCTGACGGGCAACCTCGGATTCGATGTTTGTGCTGCGCGGGAGTATGCTTCCTAGGTAGGCGAATTTGTTCACAGTTCGGGGCTGGTTGCTGGTCACAGTAATTCGAGGAAAGTTGTATTCGGGGTTCGACGACGGTTAGTGCATGCATAAATAACGTTTAAATTTACTCAAGCAGTCTTTGCATCGCGGACCATGCCCCGGAAAATAAAGGCATTCAACAAAAACTTCTTTGTTCATTTTTTGTTTTATGAAGCCATGTCAGCTGACCCTCTGCCCGCGGCGTATTTGACGGTCTTCTTAAATGTCCGATATGAGTTGTTCGGAGTCTTGTAAGTTCGGTAGATTTTGCAACCTTTCTCTGTGTCATTTGCCCGTCTTTTGCTCGATGCTTGTAAACACAGAGTATGTGTTGGCAACCCCCTCTCCTGGACTGTTGCCTTCATATTCTGATAGGCTCATATTTTTATTTAGATAGTCTGTTATTGACAGCAAATAGACCGTTTCGGTTCCATCTTATGTGTCTTTGATATTGAGTTCACAATGAATAGTTCGCACTTTAGAAGGGATTATTTTGGTCCTCTCGACGACGAGGTGCGGAAGACATTCAAGGCTAATCAAGCTGTACTGCATAGCGCACTTTCCACTATTAACTGGTAGTATGTGATGTGGAAAGAAATCCAGAAAGATTTCGCATGCGGTGATCCATCCATTCTTTTTATGTGATTATAACGGTTGTGGTATGTTAATATTTAATCGTACACCACACTGTACATAATGAAATGCTGACTTCCAATGCATTGGACTTTGCCGTTTTAATTTAGTCTATAATTCCCGACGCATTAGCTAGTGAGTCCTGATACGACCGGTCGTGGTAGTGTCGCGCAAGCTCCATGCGTATAACTTACCTGCCTTTGATCAAAAGGGCCCATCACAACAAAATCGTAATTCCCTTATGAAGCTGCAAGAAATACAATTGCTGATATTTCTTCCTTTTTGACCACGGAGAGATGGAAAATCTTCCGACATCTCAAATTAAAAAGCTCACCATGCGAAACTGCTGTCTGCAAAGATATATCGGAATCCCCTTTCTTGTGCACCTTAAACCGCAAAACCGCAATTTCTGCTCCGTAGAAAAGACTGGACTCTGATGGGGGCAGCAATCGGGGAAGGATGACAAAAACTGAAAACATGCCCAATCTTACTAATGAGTGTTTCAGAGTTAATAAAACCTTGTCAGCCTCTGATACCACGACCCTATCATAATGTCCATCATCGAAAACAGTATTTCTTCGGTCACATGACATACTGAGTGATCTAATTCTTACAGATAGGCTCATTGAACGGTCTGCATTCTGAAATGTACATACTGCATTTGATCCCGCGACCGCATACTGCTGGACTACCTTTTGGCCCACACCATTATGACGGTAAACTTTTAACCTCTGATCTGTAGATATTTGTTTATTTTTCTGTCCACTCGGCATTGTACCACCTGTGAATAATACTATGCTTTCATAATTGAGCTCCACCGTTCAGGCCTATTTCCCGGACTCCACGCTTTTCATAATACCGATAAGGAACTCATCCTATCACGTGCCCGTGATGTTATGCTGTTAATGTTATTTAATTTATGATGGCAACAATGGAAAGGTAGTTTTTAAGGTTAACGGAAATTTATGTAGGGGACAGTGACCAATCCCGTATTTTACTTGTATTACGAAAACGTCTGCCTGTGAAACGCGTGAAATAAATCAGGGTTGCACATTATGTGTGTGGTTAAGGAGAGCTGCTGTCATTACTTGCAAATGTGTGAGGTGTGTAGTCAGATCTGCGAAATGATAGGCGGCCTGGAATCTTCACGGCTTTTTTGTCTGGGAGTAGGAGCAACCATCCCGATGGGCGCGTAGTCCTTCAAACTGAACCACGCGTCAGCCAGATGAAGTAATTGTCTTTTTCGGGTGTTTACTTGATAACGATTGAACGTAATGACGACCAGCCTCGTCCTTCATGGCCTGTGTGCAGGTAACCGATTTGCGCGTGCGATGTATGGGATTTGCCAATTGTAGCTCTTTTTGGACAAACTTCTGGCTGACTGCGACGGTTCCCACCTTGCGTTGTTGACGGGAACATCGCCCAATTTCTAGTTTAGGGTTCCCCAGTTGACTGCTGCAACTTATGCACTATTTTTGAAGGAGTTTTGAGTTCTGACTTTAACATCGGAGTTTAGTCCCTGAAAGTTGCTATTATCGTATGTTAAGCCGACCGTCTGTCTGCCCCAGTTGTCTATTCATTTTGAATGTAAAACTTAGTGGGGGCACGTGAAGACGGGTTAACTATTAATTGCGGTACACATCAGTATTCAAATCTTGATGATTCTCATTGGCTTTACGGCTTTGGTCCACAACGGCGAGGTGATAACGTTAAGCTCAGTTTGTCCCATAGTGGACG